GCTAAATGCAGACTCACAACTTATATCCCATTTTGCCCCTTGTATGTGTCTGACCTTATTTTGGAATGTATACGGAATCTGTATGTCATCCATAAGAAGTTATAAACTCCCCCGGGGAAGTGAGGGCTGCTGGGCCGGATGACGTGGCCTAGAGTCGTTCCTACCGCTGAGGCCTCCCGGGAGCCGGTGCCCCCGGAGCTGCCCACGGCCTAGTCCCGAGGTGCGTGTAGTTGTGAGCAGGAGCCGGGGACAGTGGTGGCGGAGGCCCGCCCTGGGGGACCCGACGGGGCTCTGCCATGGGGGAGTGACATGCCTGTGCTCGGGGCTCTGCGGCAGCGTGCGACATGAGGCGACCGCGCGGCCTGGGCAACGGCGGTGGTTCCTGAGCCCGGGATGGAGGAGAAATACGGCGCGGACGCGCTGGCCGGGCCCCGGCGGTGGCGGCCTCGGGCCGGTGGACGTGCCCAGCGCTCGATTAACGAAATATATTGTGTTACTCTGTTTCACTAAATGTTTGAAAGCTGTGGGACTTTTTGAATCATATGATCTCCTAAAGACTGTTCACGTTGTTCAGTTCATTTTCATATTAAAACTTGGGACTGCATTTTTTATGGTTTTGTTTCAAAAGCCATTTTCTTCTGGGAAGACTATTACCAAACACCAGTGGATCAAAATATTTAAACATGCAGTTGCTGGGTGTGTCATTTCACTCTTGTGGTTTTTTGGCCTTACTCTTTGTGGACCATTAAGGACTCTGCTGTTATTTGAACACAGTGACATTGTTGTCATCTCATTACTCAGTGTTTTGTTCACTAGTTCTGGAGGAGGACCAGCAAAGACCAGGGGAGCTGCTTTTTTCATTATTGCTGTGATCTGTTTATTGCTTTTCGACAATGATGATCTCCTGGCTAAAATGGCTGAGCACCCTGAAGGACATCATGACAGTGCTCTAACTCACATGCTTTACACAGCAATTGCCTTCTTAGGTGTGGCAGATCACAAGGGTGGAGTACTGTTGTTAGTACTGGCTTTGTGTTGTAAAGTTGGTCTTCATGCAACTTCCAGAAAGCTCTCTACAGATGTTGGTGGAGCCAAACTGCTTCAGGCTTTATCCCAGGTGGTTTCTGTGCTTCTCTTGTGCCCATGGGTCATAGTTCTTTCTGTGACAAAGGAGAGTAAAGTTGAATCTTGGTTTTCTCTCATTATGCCTTTCACAACGGTTATCTTTTTTGTTATGATCCTGGATTTCTATGTGGATTCCATTTGTTCAGTCAAAATGGAAGTTTCTAAATGTGCCCGCTATGGATCCTTTCCCATACTTACTAGTGCTCTCCTCTTGGGAAATTTTTGGACAGACCCAATAACAGACCAGCTTCGGACTATGAACAGAGCCACACACCAGGAGAGCACGGAACATGCCCTGTCTGGAGGAGTGGTCGTGAGTGCTGTGTTCTTCGTTTTGTCTGCCAACATCTTATCGTCTCCCTCTAAGAGAGGACAGAAAGGTACCCTTAGTGGATATTCTCCTGAAGGAACACCTCTTTATAACTTCATGGGTGATGCTTTTCAGCATAGCTCTCAATCAGTCCCTAGGTTTATTAAGGAATCACTAAAACAGATTCTTGAGGAGAGTGACTCTAGGCAGATCTTTTACTTCCTGTGCTTGAATCTGCTCTTTACCTTTGTGGAATTATTCTATGGTGTGTTGACGAATAGTCTTGGTCTGACCTCAGATGGATTCCACATGCTCTTTGATTGCTCTGCTTTGGTCATGGGACTTTTTGCTGCTCTGATGAGTCAATGGAAAGCAACTCGGATTTTCTCCTATGGGTATGGCCGAATAGAAATTCTCTCTGGATTCATTAATGGACTTTTTCTAATAGTAATAGCTTTTTTTGTGTTTATGGAGTCAGTGGCTAGACTGATTGATCCTCTGGAATTAGATACAAACATGTTGACACCAGTCTCAGTTGGAGGGCTGATTGTAAACCTTATTGAAATCTGTGCCTTTAGCCAGGCCCACAGTCACAGCCATGGACCTTCTCAAGGAGGCTGTCACTCATCTGATCATAGCCATTCACACCACACGCATGGACACAGTGACCATGGGCACGGTCATAGTCACGGATTCTTAGGTGGAGGCATGAATGCTAACATGAGGGGTGTATTTCTACATGTTTTGGCAGACACACTTGGCAGTATTGGTGTGATCGTGTCTACAATTCTGATAGAGCAGTTCGGGTGGTTCATTGCAGATCCCCTCTGTTCTCTTTTTATCGCTGTATTAATATTTCTCAGTGTTGTCCCACTGATTAAAGATGCTTGTCAAGTTCTGCTTCTAAGACTGCCACCAGAACATGAGAAAGAACTACACATTGCTTTAGAAAAGATACAGAAAATTGAAGGATTAATATAATACCGAGACCCTCATTTTTGGTGTCATTCTGCCAGTATTGTGGCAGGAACAATTCATATACAGGTGGCATCTGATGTGCTGGAACAAATAATAGTACAGCAGGTTACAGGAATAGTTAAAGATGCTGGAATAAACAATTTAACGATTCAAGTAGAAAAAGAGACATACTTTCAACATATGTCTGGCCTAAGTACTGGATTTCATGATGTTCTGGCTATGACAAAACAAATGAAGTCCATGAAATACTGCAAAGATGGGACTTACATCATGTGCGATAACTCAGGAACACCCCTGGCCTGTCAGCAATGAAGATTAAATAACTCAGTGTTTGTAATAGTGCCCGAAGGACAAAAATTGCACATAATTGTACAAAACCTTTTAAAGCTCACTACTATTTGGAGATTGGATCGAGGAATCTTTCTGAAAGAAAATTTAAATACAGAATTAAACATTATTGGTACAAGAAAAATAATTACCACATTTGAATTATGTGTATGAAAGGAATCTTAACATTTGAGTGAACATGATATATCACATCATCTTCAAAAATGGACACATGGGCCGGGAATTTAGCTCAATGGTTTTGCCGCCTGCTGCACAAACACAAGGACCCTAGTTCGATTCCTGGTACCAAAAAAAGAAAAAAAAAAAATGGACACATAATGATGGATTCTAATGAAAACCAAAATTACTTGTTTACTTTCTATCAGAAAGCATCTCCATTGTAAATATGTATTTACATTTTATTACAGAGACCCAAATGAAGTTTTTAGTCAATTTTTTTTGCATAACCTGAGATAAAATAGGAATAAAAATTCTATATTTATGGATTTTCTGTATATAAAACTGGTTTTTAAGTATAATTTAAGTCCATTAAGTAAAATCTAACTTGCCACTTTAAATGTAAACTTAATTATTTAGAAGAAACTTTAACCACTGATTTGAGATAAGCAGTGAAAACAGGAAAGTATCACATTACAGTTTTTGATGTATTACAAGACCAACCACTCTGTAAAATAATTTTTTTTTACTTTTGGTAAAAAAAAAAAAGAAGTTATAAACTGTGCAAACATGTAAGTATTTCATACTCATTAGCTTATTTGCTTATGTTATTAAAATATGCTTGGCCAAATGTTTGTGAGGTTTGTGTCATGGAATATGCAGAAATTTTCCCCAGCTTTTACATGGCCCATGTTTAAGCTTCTTCCTTATCAAGTTACCTAACCTATGCACATACAGTACGCAGATGTATGAACACATGTGCATCTTTTGTGGTTTCTGAAATTGTTTTTTACTCTCTTTGTAAAGATTTCTTTATAAACAACTTTTTCTTTTTCTTTTTTTTTTGGTACTGGGGATTGACCTCGGGTCCTTCCACTTGCACTGCAGGTGGCAAACCACTGAGCTCAATTCACATCCCCAACTTTTCCATTTTTAACTGACATAAACTGCACAGCTTAAAGTGCACCAGCTGAGACACTGGCATTTTTAACATGGGTGAAAATACAGTAACACCTAAAACTTACCTCATGCCCCTTATTTCTCTCTTTCCTGTCCTCCCACCTTTGTTTCCATCACTGATCACTTCCTGTCACTTTAAATTTGATCTGGGTAAGAGATCCAAACTTTATGAGTAATTTCAAATTCACACACTTCCATATCAGAATTAATGATTCTGTCCTTGCCAGTCACATGTATCAGCACGGGCGTAACAGAGAACAGCATTAACTGCATGTGTTTCCATTGCAGGGAGCACAGCCTGTGGGCCATGATGAATGCTCTGAAGCCAGTGCACTGACTCATCTGAAGAGAAGCTGATTGTCACTGAATAACTAAACATCTCCCTTCCCCCAAACATGAGTTTCAAGAGTGGGAGAATCATTTTTCAGGACTGATGAGCACCGCGGGACTGATGGCATAGCCACTGGTCACCAGCATAGGGGCACACAGACGAACTGGCTCTTTGTTCCACAACATTCCTAAGGGGAAAGAGATAATGCAGCCCAGAAAGTACATGGCCACAAAGAAACTCATGAGCAGCAGCCTGGTCTGGGTGTCCTTTTGTACTAGAGGTGACTTTGAGAAAGGCAAGTGCTGTGGCAATGCCAGGACTGCCCCTTGTGCCTCTACAGGAGAGTCACCATGTAACCACTCAAAATATCCATGAGTCCTACAGGGGAGACATCCTGGAATGTGAGCAAAGTCACTTTTGCCTGACCTGCCTACTTTTACCTCCAATGGCCATACCTCATCTATGGTGACGAGCATTCCTCTCTGCTCAACATAGCTCTTTTTTTTTCAATCTTTTTGCAGACAGTTCCTTAGACAGTACTAACTTCATGGACACTGCTAATATTACAAGTCCTCCCTTTTATGATGCTCTTTTGAACTTTACATTTGTACTGAGGCTTCTGACTCTTCTAAGGTGAAGATTTTGATCCATTTAAATTGTAACGCTTCACATCTCTTAGTGAGTGATCCATGCAAGTTCAGTCTTTAGTCAGTAGAAAGCCAAACAAAACAAACACCCAGGCCCCAGTAACAGCACAGAATGCAATTCTTAAGAAAATGCAACTGTGTGGGAAAAAGCAATGTAGGGAAATCTGACACTTGTCACCCCAGAATTTCGTGGGTCACTATTATTTTTTAAAACTGCATGCACATAACCTCTTAACTGTTAGAAAGAATTATAGGAAAACAGAGGAAGACAAGTGTGATGAGATAACAGCACCCAGCAAGAGAAGGATGCACGCTCTCACTTGCACAAGGAACATTCGCCACAACAAACCACAGCCTCACCCTGGGGGCATTAAACATGCCTTACACAACTTTCAACAACAGAAATGATACTTTCACACTCTACAATTCCAATGGGATGGAGGTGGAAGTCAGGAATAGAATCAGAGTTAGAAAATCTCAAATAACTTGCAGGTTACACAGCCTAATTCTAAAAAGCACATGGATCACGAGTAAATCTCAAGACACTTTTAAGTATCTTGAACTAAAAGAAAATGGAAAACCAACTCGTCAAACTTTGTGGTGTGTACTAAAATCCATGCCAATGGGGAACTTTACACCACTGAATGAATGTATCGGAAAGGAAGACAGATCTAAATCCAAGAATTTAAACTCCCACTGTGTGGCAAAGGGGAACAGCTCAGTGTTACAGCCAGGTGCTATAGTTCAAGAGCTACTGCTCAAGCTCTACAGCTACAGTGATTTGAAGACTTGAGAATCTGAAAGTTACTTGAAGAGATGGAGAAAACCCTTTACTAGCTGGCTGTCTCAGAGGAGTTTGACCACTCTGAATTCTGAGCCCCCAGTTGCAGGGAGAGTTCGTTTATATACAGTTGGGGAGAGGAAATTGAGAGGAACCTTTTAGGGCAGAGACATAGCTAGAAGAGGAAACACCTGATGAGGGGTTAAGAGAACATTTTTGAAACTTGAGGTAGAAATGTCAGGTACTAACTGTTAACACTGAACAGAACACTCTTGATACATTGGGCAGGTACATGTGCAGCATAAACAGTGACTGAACATTTTATGGAAAGAAAAAGCATAGGGGACAAAGGCAAAGATTTGCCCTATTGTGCATTATTGCTTTATCACCGCATCAGGAAATTAGAAGACAAAGAGCAAATTAAATCCAAAGTAAACAGAGGAAAAGAACATTATACATCAATTAGTGACACTGAAAACAGAATATCAACGGATAATTAAGAAAACCAATATTTTGTTCTTTAAAAGGTCAACAAGTTAATGAAACCTCTAACCAGAAATCGAAGTGTTATTAGGACTAAGACCATGGATGTGAAATGTATCAAAGGAACACAATTCCAACCTCAAACGTTGAATACCTGGAAGTGACTACCACCTTGAAAGGCACAACCAAAACACAGAAGAAGCAGGAGGCTCCAGGTGGGAGGAAAGGGAAGGGACCTCTGGAAACGCCCTCCCGCCCAGCCTCCTTTCCCAGAGCGATCTGGGGTGAGGTGAGGTCTGGCGTCAGCACACAGCCTCTGGTTCGGAGGCCATGTGAGTGAGCTCTGTAGCTCAGGGACGGGCGGTGCTGCCTGGCAGCTGGTGAGAACAGCCCCAGAGGAAGGGGCACCCAAGCAAGCCTGAAGTCAGGGACCAGCATCCGGCCTTCGGCCTAGGAGACATTCAGCAGGCTGGCAGCCGCCAGGCAGGAAGTACAGGGTTAAGCTCCTGTGCTTGCGGGAGGTGGGGAAGCGCTGACTGACTGCTAGAACCCCTTCTCCTGTGTCTTTGTTGCAGCTAAGGCCCTCCAGGGAAGACCACAGAAAACAACAACCAAAAAGGTCTAACCAGGGCCCCTTCTGGGTGACCTCCACTAAACACTGTTCTCCACCTTCTCCTCGTAATCTAAATCCTCCACCCCACCGTGTCTGCCCACCACCTGTGAACAGGCCAGGTATGGAGAAGCGTGACCTCAACTGCACACTCACCCACA